AACATGGTCGACGACCACCAGAGTTGACCAGATTTACATTGAACACTGGGAAAACTTACCCAAAAATCCACAGCACCTAGACCGCCATGCAATGCTGTCGTTTCTATAAGAAATGCGTATTTGCTGATCTGAGATGTAATGTTTGCAAGTTTCAGCTTTCTATCTAACGTCTAATACCACCGCAGTTAGAATTTATATTCTGTGGACTTTTTTGTCCTTATAGACACTGAAAAAGCAGTTTATTTTCAAATATAAGTATTGATCGTGGTGATATCATTCTCAATCTACATAGTTCGGGGCTTACTAAGACATTTTTCGTCGTGGTTAGTATAGATAATAATACGAAGCACTCGGTAACAGAAAGTGCACTTGTTGAGCGTGGAAACAAGAATTAAAACTAAAAAATCAAATAAACTTTTATTTTCAATTTAAAATTTTATTTTCAATTTAAAATTTCTCTTTTGTGAAATATACTTTATGAAACTTTAAATATGCTAGTGTACTTTTTTGTAGCAATTTTAATCAGTCAAAACAATGATGAATGGATCTTTACATGAAAATCATTGATGATGATGATGATGTAGACAAGTTGTTCTCCACCTTTTTCAGGTGTTGGTGTAGATGATTACCAAGTAGACAATCACGATGATGATGATGATGATGATAACGACGACGATGATGATCATATCTACTACGATGCGTTGTCATGAAACTCATTATGCAGCAGAGAGTGTGTGTGTGTGTGTGTGTGTGTGTGTGTGTGTGTGTGTGTGTGTTACATTTATGGTATTTGTTACCACTTTTAACTGGCAATTGCAAAATATAATTTATATCAATTTATTAGATCAAACGTAAAGATTGTACAAAATGTATATTTTTTTTAAATGAAGAGAACGAAAAAAAAAAACACGCAAACAAAACAAAATTATATCTGCACCTAACAATTTTATATTATGGAACCGTATAAATGTGAGAAGTAGCTTCAGACTATCTATGAGCTCATAAAGGTATTATTTTACGGCTGAATAAATTTAATACCAATTGGCTGTTTTAAGCCTCTTTTGTAGATTGTATGATAGTTCACGTGACGGGCTACGTGATTTCTAACTTGAACATCGCTTTTAAAAAAACACAAACGACATTTATCACGTAGTCTAGAATAGCCTTATCTACAAAATCAGATTCTCACGCTAGAAATGAATAATAAAAAACTGTTTAATTTATGGGTAACATGTGGACCGGACGTGACCATGGGAATAGGCAATCATTTCCACATTGTATTTACGAATTTACAAATCAAGTTAGTCTAAAAATAAGTATAAAGTAACTGTTACGTTCTAATTAGGTCAAGTGAATTTTCAAGAGATTTTATTGTAGTGATATTTTTCAAGAGATTCAAATCCAATAAAAAAAATATTACAAAAAAATACAATGAAACAAAAATAAAATAAGAATGAATTTAAAACTAACACACAAGCAATTTAATTACATATTTGTAAAACTATATATGATCTTGACAATTCACTGGAGTAAACAAAATATTTTCTCACTGCACGTCTACAGACTAATAAGATTATGAAAAAGTTATATTTTTTCTTTTGAAGACAAACACATTAAAATCCCCTAAAATTACAAATTACATTTTTTTTTCATAATTGAATTGGGAAGGAGAATTATGTTTGACACGAATCAAAATAACTAGTTTTTCACCAGCGAGTAAAAATAAGGTTTTCAGACACTCGATATCCGTTATTCGCTCTTTTTAACCAAATATCGCCTTTATATTTGTTTTCAAAAGAGATCTTGGGATTTAACAGTGGACCAAGAAATCATAACCCAAGGGTTTGGGTAAACCGAATCACCATCATACCGACAAAACGATCAGATTCGGATGGTTCTAAAGGTTTGAACAGAACAAAATCCCCAAAATAAAACAAAAGTTCTCTCTCTCTCTCTCTCTCTCTCTCTCTCTCTCTCTCTCTCTCTCTCTCTCTCTCTCTCTCTCTCTCTCTCTCTCTCTCTCTCTCTCTCTCTCTCTCTCTCTCTCTCTCTCATAATGAATGTACAAAATGTATACAAAACAAAGCAATATTAAATTTTTATACACGTCAAAGTGAGATTAAATTTTATTTTCCTTTTATACAAATGTTGTGTTCTTGAACCATCAAACTCTATCGCAACAACCACCTTTTTATTTTCATTTTGCAGATGAAAGCGAATGGGTTGTGATAACTGAATACAATATTAGGAGAAAGTACACAATTAATATAGACTTCAAATTGTTGTATAGCCGAAACTACAGCCAAACACTCCTTCTCAATATTGGAATAATATTTATGTTGCTTATTTCATTTTTGTTAGAAATAACACACTGAATAATCCAGACAATCTTTATCTTCCTGAATGAATACACCACCAACCCCTACATCACTCGCATCAACAGATACTTTAACTGGTTGATTAAAATCTGGATCTGAAAGAAATAGTGCAGGCTGCTCTTAAGTTTAGTCTTCGATTTTTCGAACGCTTCCCGACATTTTCCAGACCAATAAAACTTGGTCGTCTTACTTAATAAATTGGTTAGGAGCTCATCAGTAATGGAAAAAATTGCGCAAAATTTACGATAATATCCAGCCATACCCAAAACTCGCATCGGTTGCTTTTTACTGGTAGGCACTTGGAATTCAAAGATAACTTTAACCTTAGATTATACAGAATTCACTTGTCCGTGTCCCACAATATGCCATATTAACACAAGCTCGGCAAAATTAACTTTTACTTAGATTACGGCCTTTTCCATGGGGGCATTACCAATGTCCTATACATGTTTACCTCTATTGATAATTATCTTAATATTTAATCTATATTAACAATTCTTGAACAGGTTTTAACGCCAGTCTTTGTACAAGACGCACACAGTCCAAATGTCTACGAGCACGCACTTTCTGACTTATTTATTGCTAAATGATTCACAACAATAATCCAAACCATCCAGTTAAACAAAACATCTATGCCATTAATGACACTAAATGGTGTATAACTATCGATTGATCTAAACCTATATTAGACCTAACTCGTTGGGGAATACCCAAATTACTATTATAAGCTCTGTCGTTATCCTTTCATCGCATTGATTTGTTTACATGGTGTACTCGTCTTTAAAGACATCCATTTTTCATTTATTGTATGCCATTGTCATCTGCACAATATATTATATCTCTTAGACTCAATCTTTGTACATTGATGCCTCTCAGTTTCAGTATTTGTCTCAGAATTTTTCCCTAGAAAAATGGAAATTCTTGTATGATTCTTTCAATATGAAAACCCATTTCGTCGTTACTCATTTCAGAAACCTCTGTTATTGTAATATCGTGCTGTCGCATCCAAGGATAAACCTTGATTTCTGACTCAGATAACGGATGGACAATATCGGATATGAGAAAGTCAAGGCCGATAAATCAAACCCCAACTTGCGGTGATACTGAATGCCAGTTTAGTTTTGCTTCAGTGTGGGACTAATATATCGTCTTACAGAAAGCCATCATGAGTTAGGTTTAGTAAAGAACATTTTGGTACTATAAATTCGGGGAGACTTGCATCATACTTTTACATTCCATTCATAGTTTGTTCAGTTCTTCTTTCTTTGAAAGTCCTAGTTGGTGTAATTCTTCGTCTGATAAAAAGCATACAATACCAGGACAGATAGGCTATGTTTGTCAAATTTACCAGCAAAAAAATCATCCAAAGTTTGTTTTTTTTTTTAAATTTTTTTTAGCATGTTTGTGTATCTTGTAGCCGCCATTTGTGTTCAATTTATAGGAGACATTATGTTGTACTTACAACAATAATAGAAACAGATGAGCATTAACATAGTCAATGAACACAGGATGGAATCTGTACTAATGATATATCCACAGCATAAAATGGATAAACAATGACACTTTAGGGGAAAAAAATAACACATCGTGTGAATTACAAAGAATAAAATGCCGCTATAACCATTGGCAGTAAACCTACCACAGGCCACAACGTATTAAAACGATATGTAAGGTAGGTATAACACTCAACAATGAAATCTTGACTGCATGCAGCTAATAACACAATCCTAGCATGTCTTATCAACTCTGTAAAGTTCAGTTCACCTGATATAGCACATAAAACTGCATTGTATTTGACCGCAAATCATGACCGGTGAACCCTATTATTTGATGAGTTGAAAGTAGTATATCATGGCTTATGAACTCTATACAAGGTTCAGCTGATCCAATACAACACTTCAAATAATATTTGAATTATCTTTTGACCCTAAATAATGGCTGGTAAACCTTAGATTAAATTAAATTTAAATACGACAGCTATGGCTTTCCATAATATTCGTATTTGCTCTATATTACTATATCAATGTCTCAAACTCTCTATCTCGTCATGAAACAGCAGCAAAGGCAGAACTACTACTACTACTACTACTACTACTACTACTACTACTACTGATAATAATAATAATAATAATAATAATAATAATAATAATAATAATAATAATAATAATAATAATAATAATAATAATAGCAATTTATGACATATTGAGTAATGATTATGTTACGGCTGGATAAGGGTGCTTAGCTAACATTATTGTTTTTTTTTAAAGAATGAAATAAACTCAAAGCTGTCCAATAGAGTAAAATATTTTGCTAGATTCAAAAATTTATTAGTTTGAATGCACAGAAAATGTAATGCAGGAAATATCTCTAACCTGACTATCAAATTAGTTATTTTTTTTTACGGAATGGAAATACAACCTGAAAAAAACTACCTAGTACATATACATATTTTAACGCAATCATGTACACGTTTTTGCAGACATATAAACTATGCAGGCCCTTAAGCTAGGTTCTGAAGTAGTAAAAACTGCTTTTATTAGCTCGATGTCCAGTTTTGAGTCTCATTTGTCAAGAAACTAAATTTATAATGGCTTGCCTTCCGTAATTCTTTATACCGTTCCAGTGGCCGAATGGTTTGAGCGTCCGCCTCGAATGTGGAAGGTGGTGGGTTCAAACCCCCACCAAGTCATATCAAAGACTTATGAAAATGGTGCTAACAACTTATTCGCTAGGCACTCAGCATTAAGAGGATAGTGTTAGGACTGGTCGGTCTGGTGTCAGGATAATGTGAAGGGGTGGGACATCATGCTACACGTCTGGGGCATGATGGCCTCGTGCTAGACATCACTATAAACCGCCACACTGTAGACGTCGTAGTGATAGGACAGAAAAATTGTTAAAACCTACGTTAAAAATCCAAACCACACACACGCACTCGCGCACACGCACGGTAATCTACTACAAGATGTCCCAGACGTACCCAATACTGCCTACGGCCACAACGTATAGCTTTACACACACACACACACACACACACACACACAGAGTAATCTTCTAAAAGGTGTTCCAGACGTACCCAATACTGCCCACCGCCGCAACGTAGTTTTACACACACACACACACACACACACACACACACACACACACACACACACACACACACACACACACAACGTATAACTTTTGTGTCAGGCTTTTATTGATGTGGATGATGAGCTCAACTATCTTCGCATTTAAACTTCACCGCCAGACTTCGTCATAAATGAAATCGTCCTTCTAGATAATTCTTCATGTTTAGGGTTTTAGCGATATTTCTCAGCGCAATACTGGCTATACACGGTGATCAGTATAAATGGTGGAAGAAGATCCCGAGAAAACCCATGTAACAACCACCGAACTTACTGGCAAGCTTTCTCACATGCCCACACACCCGAACCCAACCGGACCGATGTGAGATAGCAGTGATCGGTCAAGACGATCGCTATAGATAACCCAGCCACCATTTTTTAAAAAGATTGATCACTTTGTTGGTTTCACTATCTCGTGTACTCGCTTCTCCCACATCCGTAGATTTCAGCGAGTGTCCGTTAGTCATTGGCCTCTAAAGGCGTTTTCATCGTGTTTCACTACATTCTGTGCTGTTTCCATCCCTCGAAGGAGCAAGTTTCTCTGGGCCTGGTTCTCGAATGAGATAGACGCCGCATACTACTACTACAGGCATTATCATAGTGTAAAATAAACCTATGAGTATACTATTTGCATTTACAAATAAACCTATGAGTGTACTATTTGCATTTACAAATAAGCCTAGGAATTTGATATTTGCATTTACAAATAAACTTATGATTGTGCTTTTTGCATTTATAAATAAACCTAGGATTGTGCTTTTTGCACTTAAAAAAAAAACAACACAGGAATGTGCTATTTGCATTTACATTTGCATTATAGCTTTGTTAGATTTTAATAATTTTGTTTTATTAAGGTAGTGTCGTTGTTGTAAAGATATTTCTCAGTCCGAGTACTTAGGCATTTTTAAGGAAGGGTATTCGTGAGACTTTATGATATCATGGATTAATTTCGAACAATGGACACTCCCTAATTTCTTAACACTGGGAAATCTCTGGATATTTCTTTTTGGTGTACTTGTATAGTTGTTTGTATTAGGTGTTGTGGTCTTGTTTTGTATTGCATGACGAGAAGTATTAATATTCGGCTTAGAAAGGCGTACTGAAGTGGTGAAACAACTGTGAAGCAAGAAAATCTATGCAAAAGTTTTAAAGCTTCGTGATTTGTAGTCCTTGGGATTATATAAATTTATTTGTAGTGTTTGCCCTCATTGAAACCTTTTCATTTGCCGATGGCTGTTGTCTTTAGGTCATTGGAACAAAATGAAACAAAGACTGTCAAATCCAGACTAACACAAAAGTTGTTTGATTCACTCGTTATTGAGATATATTGCGTATAACGCTAGGATGGCTTGGCAATACGGGTTTTGCATTAATTGTAATTTCCACTCTCTTTTGCCAGTGCGCTCTTCTGTCTTTACATGGTCAGCATTATCTATTACCATTCGCTCTCCTTCCGCCCCATCCCATCATAATGAACGAGACACTTTTTGTCTAGCAGAGCAGCCACAAGAAGGACTGCCGCACTTGTGTGGATCATTTTGGTTACTTAAAATTAGTCAATCGCCTAGTGTTTGGTATCAGGACATAATGTCAAAGGTTCCAAGACCAAACAGTTTTGTCCTCGATGCGAAACGCGCTAAAGAAGTGCCGAGCGCCGTGGACGTCACTGTATTTCTTGGCGTCAGGTAGATGACCATCATCTTCATTAGCATAGGTTCAGATATGGATTAATCAGATGCTTCAGTGATTTGGGTCATTGAATTGCATTGGATACGGAGGCAAGCCACCGCATCCAATCAAAATTAAGTGGTTCAAATTTGAACACTGTTTCTACATGATTGAAATAAGGAGATCACACACCTTGAATGGACTCATAAATAAGCAACTTTTCACTGTCAGTCCGTGTTTGTACAAATACCTTTCACCCAAATTCACCTGTAATGGCTTCTCTCTGGTACGTAGTCTTATTTTTGATGTTAAACCTAGAAAGCATCCAGTTAAATTTAATTGCCTCTACCATTTTCAGCCGATGTACAATGTACCTTTTGCACACGCTGTTGGTTAGTTGGCATTTACATACTAAGGTAGGCAACGCATAAAATCTAATAGATGCTGCATGGACAAATCCTCCAAGGTGTAGATAGGGTTAACATATCGGAACCTTTGCTTAGCGAAGACGGATGCCATACGAATTAATATTTGTGGGAATATGAGCCTGGTGCGGTGCTACCTTGTCCAAGTTAAAGAAGATTTCTTCGATTTATGTATATCCAATTATGTCAAATTCCTATCTTATCGTCTCCGCCTGCTCTACTGTCTCAAACAAAGTAAACTATTGGTTGTCGAGCTGCTCTCAGAGCTGCTGCAATGTTACGCTGCTCATGAAATATGGCGGTTGAAACTCAGCCAGTTTTCTTTTTTAATATGTCGTCCTGCAATGCATGTGCTCATTGTGCAGTGCTATTTGCATTTCTAAGTGGACAAACATTTTAAAATTGTGTACTTTTACACCTCTGATATTTGTGTAGCAGCGGAGCTTTTTTTTTCGTATAGTCTCTGTGCCACGGTCAATATAAAGTGACTAGCATGCCTTAATAACTCACCCCTTCGCTCTACGTAGTCTATGTACGTGTAGATAACAATATTCATTGACAAAGCTCATGGTACATGTCTCAGTACTGCCTAATGTGAACCAAGCGCAAGCATTTTGTTTTTCTTTCTACAACTCATATTGCTTTCTAATGGTCTATGTCTCTGAATGACTGGGCCGGCGAGGACGTGGGTCGGTGTTTATGTCTATAGGGAGTCTACCCAAAAATTAAATACTTTTTAAAGAACATGGCTCTTTTTGTGTTAACTTTGGGAGAAATGGAGGCTTTCTGTTTTGTTGGAACAAGGTACGGCAATGGCCAACTCTACCTCCATTAACTGATTCAACCTCCATGCTGCTATAGTACATTATTCCACGATCAGAAACATTGCTTTATTTTATTATGAGAAAATAAAAATAAAAAATCTGAAAGTCTAATTTTCCGTACTTGTTACATTGACGCGAGTCCTTCACTGATCGCAATAAAAAAGCACAGCAAGAAACTATCACCGTTCTTTGTCTGCATGCCTGCTGGTGTGTGTGTGTGTGTGTGTGTGTGTGTGTGTGTGTGTGTGTGTGCGTGCGCGCGCGCCCTAGGCACAAACTCTAACATTTAAAGTAACCAGAACTGAATCAATCTCTCAGTCTCAGATATAAAGTATTGCATTGCATTTTCATGTGCATGTGTGTCATTTTGTTACATTTATTAATATAGTACTAAATTGCTAACACAACCGACACCGAAATTGTTTTTGGGCCGCAGCGGGGCCCACTGCTGCAATGGGCTATAGGTACATGTCTTTGCTTAAAACGGCACCACTCTGTGTGTATTATTATTATTATTATTATTATTATTATTATTATTATTCAGGGTCTCATCACAATATAAAACAGTTTTAGGCCCCTGCTTCCAACTGTGGGAGATGTTTGGGTGGTTGCTATACACCACTGTCATGATACTTAAAAAAATCTTTGTATATGTAACACTTTGATCAAAGTTTACCTTCTGAATCGTTGGTAAGTTGATTGTTTTTATTTAAAAATCATCATATGGCATTCTCATGCGGGTATAATGGTACCAATTGTACAACCCCAGGTGTAGGGAACATTGCATTCAGAAATAAACGACAAAACTAGCTGTGATTGGTGCATTATGTAAGAGTTGTACTTTCTATTAGGCTTTAAAAAAAAGTTGAGCCTCTTGGCAACATGTGAAATTATGTTAATTCATATCTAGATCACATTTTGTATTTTTTAAGATTTTTTTTAAAATGTGTAACACACGACTGAAAATGTGTCCGGTGTAACTAGATAACTCTTACCCCTGTCTAGTTTCAGCAGAGTTATCTCTCTTAAATGCAATGAAGTACCTATTTTCGATGTTATCAAATGTAACAATCTAACATTGTTCTCTGTGACAGTGTGTGACACGCATGCTGAGGTAGGACAGGAAGTATATTTATTTCGTAAAACATTAGCATTGCGGTCTATGGAAAAGCAATTGGTACCGTGATACCTGCGAGGTCATTCAAAATGTACGATTCAAAATTTTTGACACAAATTCGAACATTTAAAAAACGTATTTTAGATCTTTTGTGTTTTTTTTTTTTAACAATGTAAATAGTGCCTTAATATTTTTATATTCTTATACCTAGGACTCAAATCAAGGAACCAGACTTTTAATGACGTCATGAAACCCCGCCCATTTTGACTAATAAGATGATTGACGTAGGAGATATTTCCCATCAAGCTTAACCGGAAGTAGTAAATAAGCCAAGAAGGAATTTCATCAATTTGTGAAAGGCATTTGAAGACAAAATTTGAGTGGTAATTTGAATTTGGTGACATATTTCAGTTATATACAACTCTGTAATATGCAATGATTTTTATTTTTAAGAAAATATTCGCTCTATGGGGGAAAAAGCTGATTAATTTTTGTGTGAACGGTCATACGCTTTGTTGCCTATCATT